CAATGTACCCGGCGTCATGAAAATGTTCAACGTAACGTATGAACCAGAGAAATGGAGACTTTTCATCGATTCATCAAAAAGAAGTTTGAAAGCTGTACTTCTTCACAATAGGAACCAATATGCTTCTGTGCCCGTTGGGACACTCAGTCCATTTGAAAGAATGCTACGAAAATCTTGAATTTGTTCTTAATAAGCTCAGCTACTCTGATCATAAGTGGACCATTTGTGGAGAATTGAAAGTTATTTCAATGTTACTAGGTGAACAAAGTGGTTAGACTAAGTTTCCATGTTTCCTATGTGAATGGGATAGCCGTGACAGGAAACAACACTATGTCAAGCAGGTGTGGCCAATAAGAAAGGTTCTTATTCCTGGAGTAAAAAATGTTGAAAAACAAAGTTTGGTGGATCCTAAAAAAATCTTACTTCCACCACTCCATATCAAATTGGGGCTAATGAAACAGTTTGTGAAAGCATTAGACAAAGAAGGAGATTGTTTTAAGTATCTTTCTGAAAAGTTTCCTGGTCTATCCGATGCTAAACTGAAAGAAAGAGTCTTCGTTGGGCCTGACATAAGAAAACTTTTAAAAGATGAAAGCTTTGTCACTAAAATGGAAATGAAAGAAAAAAAAATCCTGGAATTCATTTAAACTTGTTATAACAGGCTAGACCCAATCTACAAAACTTTGGTTGCTGAATTGATACAAAACTACAAAATGTTGGGCTGCAACATGAGTGTCAAAATCCATTTCCTTCAATCACATCTGGACTACTTTCCCGAAAATCTAGGGGCTTTAAGTGAGGAACAAGGAGAACGCTTCCATCAAGACATAAAAGAAATGGAACGCAGATACCAAGGTCGGTGGAATGTTAACATGATGGCAGACTACTGTTGGATGTTAAAAAGAGAAAATTCACAAGAACACAACGGAAAAAAGTACCAAAAGAAGCTTTGACGGAAAAAGAAAACGTTTTTACAAAGATTTATAATCACTTTGCAAACACTTGCGTACGAATATTATGCTTAGTTTAGCTATGAAACATTGTTTTTTTTTGCTTTTACTTCATGTTAAGATAATAAAAATAAATCCACAATTCCTCGTTTTTTGGTACTTTTTCAATTATTTCATCCTTATTTCGTAGGCAAACCTTACGTGATAGATAAAAACAAATGTAATTTTTGAAATCAGCGCAAAAAACTACAAAAAGATCAGTTAACGAAATCAAAACAATTTTTTAAAAAGTTTTTTTTTTGCAGACCTGTGTTATTGGAACACACTTGCAGACCGGTTTCGGGCTGTTTGACCAATCGTCAGTGCAAGGTAGTGTATATCATCAACATAAAGTCGATGACTTCCGATAATTGAAAATCGAATTTTTTCAAGGTATCATTCCTCGAACTAAGCTGAAGCAGACAACAGCGACAGGTTTGTTATCGCCCCATCTGCCTGTGAACGGGGTAACCAACTGCATATCCGGAATTTGCCCAATTCCTCGTATAAGGAAAGAAAACTTCTCACATATAGTCAGTGGGCATACTTGAAGACGGGCTATAAATCAAATCATCAAAAAGAATAATTCGTTCAGTTGTATCGCCAACAGCATATGCAGGAATAACTTCAGTGAAGAATCCTACACTGACTCCTGTCGGATATAATCCAACGCTCTTCGTGGTATTAGCCAGGGGAGTAGTTGTTTTCTGATAGGTGTCAGTCCATTAACCTAAGTGTAGGGACTTGAGACTGGCCTGAACTAATTGTTCTTTTTAATGATTTGAAAAAATGTGTTATTTGATTTTTGCATTTTCGGTTATAGACAATACACCAACTTTCATGAAGAATGGAAAGTGTTGAATTTCATTAACTGAAATAAAAATGTTTCAGTGTGGTGCAGACTTTTCGACATGCACTGTATATTGCTTGTTATAGAGAAAAACTTTTTTTTAATTACTTTTACTACTATCTGTAGCTGAATGTACTTTTATTACTATCTGCAGCTGAACGTACCATTTTATCATTTTATCACAGGCAATACTCTTCTCAATTTGTTGAACTGATTTTCAGCAATCAATTACTTTCAATATTTCTGAATATTAGGCAACCGGTAGATCCACATTGAAATGATATTATGATGGCATTTAACCTAATATACTATTCATCAAGTCAAATGACAAACTCTTCTGAACCGTTATCAAATCTTTCTTTTTTGTATCACTGTACCATTCTATGAACATGTTATGCGTGGGAAATAATTCGAGTAGCCAACATATCGCATCATGAATAATAAAAAGCCAAAGCAAATACTGAAACCAAACATGTGAACGATCTTTCATAATAACAAATCGGCGAGTAGAATAACAAATAAATTCCTTTTGAACGCTGTGTATACCAACAGTGTTCCGGGTTAGGTTTTCCTTCTTTACCTTGGCTTCCTGACTTTCAATTCAAATATGCTACAAGATAATTCGTTGGAGACTTCCATTTGAACAAGATCGTATTACGAGATTTTGTTTGCTAACACATCTTAAAACAAAAAGGATCGTAAAAATCAAAATATTACGGTAGAATATAACAGCAGCGCGAGATAAAAAAGTCACCACAATAAACAATTAAGATAAAATTAGTAAACACATTTATACTTTGTGAAAAAAGAAATATAAAATAAATTCGGTCCTTTCAAAAACTACATTTCACGATTCAATCTTCACAAACTTTATTTTGAAAAATATGTCACTCGTTTCGCTAGCACAGTAGCTTTTTCGAATGATTTATGAACATGTGATATATTTTTCAAAATAGAGTTTGTGAAGATCAAATCGTGTGGTGTAGTTTTTGAAATTACTATGGATCTTCATCAAGTAAAGGCCGAATTAATCAGAAAATTCAGTCTTGATGTCTAACACATGATTATGGGGTGATATGATTATTAAACATCTTACTTTGAAATAATTACATCAACATAATCAATTTGATGTTGCGAACCACCCTATTACACACACTTCTGTTGAAATGTAAGTGGTAAAAGAATTATTGAATCTCGCACATCAGAATGAGTTTTTTTAGAAGCAAATTATCAAACGCATTTCTTAATAACATCAATAAACTTACTGTTTGAAAAAGAAATGCTATAAAACTTTCGTTGTTGTTGTAAACAAAACAACATCTACATTTTTTTTAAATCAACTCAGTGGGNAGTTATCAATCACACATATTTGAATATCAACCTTTGTTTGATAAAATAATCGGGACATTGCAACTGCAATATGAAAATATGTCCTTTGAATTCTAGAATTCTGAGTTGTTGTTTAAATACTATGCGTGGAATTTTAACGTCCTCATTTACTGATAGAAGTAAATCTTTTGCAGGCTTGAACATTTTACAGAACACAATTCCTCGACAGTGGTTACAATTCCAACAGCTGATGATGGATCACACAATATAGATTGAAGGAATTTACATATGGTTACATATGCAGATGAGCAACATAAAGTTATAATGAATTGGGTGGAGGTTATCGACCTATAAAAAAAAGTGATGACAATTTTCTTTTTGTGAAAAAAAGGTAAGAGCTCCAGCGAACTGTAATAGAAAGGTAGAGCGAATTCTTTAAAGCGCAGCAGTCATGACAGTAGATATCTTCAAAAAAGGGTAACAGCTCCAACAAACTGTAGATAGAAAGGTACAGCTAATTATCTAAAGTGCAGAAGTCATGACAGTAGATATCTTTAAAAAAGGGTAACAGCTCCAACGAACTGCCGATAGAAAGGTAGAGCGAATTATTTAAAGTGCAGCAGTCATGACAGTAGTTATCTTTAAAAAAGGGTAACAGCTCCAACGAACTGTCGATATAAAGGTAGAGCGAACTCTTCAAAGTGCAGCAGTCATGACAGTAGATATCTTTAAAAAAGGGTAAGAGCTCCAACTTTTCTACGATGTTCCAAAGTAGTCGGCCACTATCAATGAGACGAATCATCTTACTTTCTATAAGGGGGAAAACCTTCAAAGTGTATTTAGTCTGGGAGGAATCTGCGCCTCATAGACCATCACACGTTGCTAGACAATGAAATGGCGTTCGACACAAAAAAAGGCAGAAACCAAGTTCAGCAGTGCGTTAGCGCAGTGGTAGTGTGCCTGACTCACGATCGAAATGTCGTGAGTTCGATTCTCACTTCGACCAGATATTTTTCTCAAGAGAATGTATCTAGCTGAAGTTCGGATGATTCTGCAACGTTAGTTACATGGATGACGGACTGCGAATAGCCGAGATGCTTCCATATGTGGCTCGAGGAGTTCATTAATATTGCCTACCCAGAACACGAGGCTAATGACCAAAGTAGTCGATGCTGATGACTCAAATAAAACAAGTTCGATGCGAAACAATTGAATCCTAGGATACGACAGAACTTTGACAGGAAAAAACCAAGCGCCACATACAAAAGCTTTTTCAAAAGAATGCTGTACAGATTATTGAACATTTATCAATTATTTACTTTACTTTAAAACTACAAATATTTTCAAGTTCTCTAATCTGATACGTCTAAAATGTAACTTGCAAATAAATGAAAATAGCAATGAATTTCACAGTAAACTCTATGCAAAGATGTGTGTAGATCATGCAAAGAAGTAACTTTCAGACACAAACTGGAAGAAAAATCCCCCCTGAAACAACTACTTTCATATGAACAATGAATCACAGAAAAATCACTTCTCGCTATTTAGTTTGTACTCAAAGCATTCGTTATGTAATCATTTACATGGAACAATGTCTTCTTCATTGATGTTTCGGATCAAGACACATTTTTTTGAATAAAGATAGACAAACAAGTAGACAGCTAAAACTTTCATTTCTCATTATTAACCATATTCGTGTGTAGTGAGTGTTCGTTTATATCATTAGCAAAAATACATTTAAAAAATCGTTGTAATCATTTATTGTGGGATTTTTTACCGTTATCGTAGCATATTTGAACGATTGGTAAGGAAAAATTCCAAAAATCACTCACCAGTAATGACCAGCCTTCCTTTAGTCGCACTCAGTCTAGTTTCTCCAGTGAGTCTATGTTTTGTACGACATTGATATGATTTATAACCATCTTCAGGTCCTACGTCTTTAATATGCAATTCTCCGGAGGGTAAAACCAAATATTTGCTATCTGTTGGAATACAAAACAGTTTTTAGTAAGACGTTTTCTTGTTTGACATTACATTGATCAGCTGTGTCAACGATGTAATGATTCAATGATAAAATTGATTGAATATGCTTCTAAAAAATGAAAAATCGACGGCGAGACAGCCTCAATGACTCAAAAATCTTCTGATCAATATAACGCCTTTCAAGAGTACAGTCATGCATTTTTTTTTCAAAACTATTCAGTGAGTATCGGGGTTTTCTGAATGATTCGTTTTATAAAATTTTGAAACAATAACGACAGTTTGAGCAGTAATGGTCTTCATTGGAAAAAATTATAAATATTCAGGAAACCGGCCGGATATTTCACTTGAAGAGTTTTAAATACACTACAAGAATAACAATTACATAATATTAAATCATCATTTTGCGTATAAATGTTATTCTCGAGTTGAAATTATCTCTAGGGGCAGGGTGTGGTATGGGGGGGGGGGGGGGGGGGGGGGGGGGCAGAAGTGGAAGGAGCAACAGGATCACGGCAGGAGTTCCAGATGTCCAAATTTGATTTCAAAAACGATAAAGACGATGTACTACGAAACTGAAGATTGCGAGCGAATGTCTATAAAATTACGCGATAGTCTTAGATAATTTTTATTAAACCAATATATTTTTTGAGTAAGTTGGCCGTACTTAAACTTTGCACCTCGCAATACTGGCAAGATTTTCTAGAAAATTTGTTTTATTGTACTTCTCATGGGTAGATGACTATAATGGTTATGATCAACAATTTTCATGAAAATAATAAACTAGTTAACGTTATTATCATTTACACCACTCATTATCTGTTTTCCACTTCAACATTCTTAATTCAACCTCATTCATACTCCCACGAAATAATTTTCAAATGAATTCCAGAATTTTACGTAATTACCACGAAAAGGTTTTGAAATTCTTGCAAAATAATTCCTTAATTTTGATATACTGGATAGTGTTTCATTGAAAATTGAATGTTATGTTTCACGAAACTCTTTAAAATTGCTTGAAGTGTTCTCCAATACATTTATCAGTTCGAATACACTTCGTGGGATTCAGGGTGTATTTCAAACGATGTTATTAATTTCAGGCGGATTAAAAATATTGTTCTGTTATCAATAACTCTGAATTATTTTCGCCGATTTTGATTAAACTACGTGTGTTTGTTTTAAGTAACAAGGGGCTTCTTTTCATGAAATCAGATTTGAAATTTTATTTCATCGGGATTTATGAATTTATATTTATGAATACATACTGAATAAATCCCATGTGAAATCCTTTTCATCGAGTAAACAGGCGATAATTTCAAATTCGGATATTCTAGTATATCTCCGGAACCATAAGCAAGTCAAGTAGTACTCAAAATACGCAACTTTACCACAAATTAATCGACTCTTACTATTTAAGAGATCCCTACGCAAAAATTCGAATAGTGCTTTGTAGTGTAAACAGCCACTGATAGGAATAAATACTTCGATTTGACGAACGATTCGATTTACATGTTTCGATGCCGAAAATAATGTTGTAAAGCAGGAAACTACTTACAAGATGGATACAAAATTTGAAATGAAACACATTTTCATGGAAACGCAGAAGAGCCACAAATTTTTATTATTCGTTTCTTGTGAATTATGACTTTGAAACTCGAAATTTCGACTTTAATCTCCAAGTAACGACTCGAATCTCGAAATTACGAATTAAAACGCGAAATTACGATAATGAGGTCGTAATTCTGAAATTACGAAATTAAGGTCGAAATTTCGAGTTTAAAGTCGTAATTTCGAGTTCAAAGTCGCAGTTTTGAAATAAAAGTCGAAATTACGACTTTGATCTCGAAATTTCGAGTTTGAAGTCGTAATTTCGAAATTACGAGATTAAAGTCTAAATTTCCAGTTTGAAGTCGTAATTACGTGTTTAAAGTCGTAATTACGTGTTTAAAGTCGTAATTTCGAGTTTAAAGTCGTAATTTGGAATTTGAAGTCGTAATTTCGAATTTTATCTTAATATCGAGTTTAAAGTCTCAATTTCGAAATTAAGAGATTGAAGTCGCAGTTTTGAAATTACGAGATCAAGGTCAAAATTTCGTGTTTAAAGTCGAAATTTTCAAGTTTGAAGTAGATATTTCGAATTTAAAGTCAAAAAATTACAAGATCAAAATTAAAACTTCGAGTTAAAAGTCCTGATTTTGAAGTTACGAGATTATAGTCTTAATATTGAAATCACAAGAATAAGGTCGAAATTTGGAATTTAAAGTTGTAATTTCGAAATTGAGATTTCAAACATGATGACATGTTGCCCATATTTTCCTGATTTATGGCCTCGAAATTTGCGAGTTGTAATTTCGAGTTTGAAGTCCTAATTTCGAAATTATGAGTTTAAAATCGAAATTTGCGAGTTAAAAGTCATAATTTCGAGTTTTAAGTCTCAATTCCGAAATTACGAGATTGAGGTCGTAATTTTGAAATTACGAGATTAAGGTCGAAATTTCGAGTTTAAAGTAAAAAAATTACGAGATGAAAGCTAAAATTTCCAGTATAACGTCCTGATTTCGAAGTTACGAGATTATAGTCGTAATTTTGAAATCACAAGATTAAGGTCGAAATTCGAAATTTGAAGTCGTAATTTCGAAATTAAGACTTCAAACATGATGACATGTTGCCCATATTCTCCTGATTTATGGCCTCACTACTTTTTGTCAAACTGAAAATGTGTGGACACCTGTTGAAAGATTCCATTAAACCTGTTTCATGACATATCAACATCTGAGTGGAAAAACTTTTTCGAAAACAAAAAAAAACAGTTCATCTCAAAAGAGATTTTTCCTATTTTTTGTAAAAACTCTGGGACTAGCACAAAAGTGCTTCTCTCAGAGTTATTGTTTTGATTATCTATAAGATTTTCAACAATAGTGAAAACTATAAAAATTATTTATCCCAATGAAGAATACTATTAACTTTTTCCATACATTTACTGTTTGATAAAAAAAAAATTAAAATGAAAAATTTTGTATAGTTTACTTGCATTTTTATATTCGGTATGGAATATTTTTATAATATGAACTATATTTTATTCATTCGGGAATAATATGATTTTTCAATATTTTCTATTCCCAAAATTGGCAAGAAAACTAAATTAGCACTCTTTTTAAAGCCGATATATTAGTACATGTTCTAAGAAGAGTTTCTGCGCTGGAATTCTAAATGAAAATATTTATAAGGATTGTTTATAAGCCATCAGTTCATGTAAACATCTTATATCGATCCGCCAAATTCATTGATTATTTTCACCCCAGCTTCGAGTGTTGTATTCCAGATTTTATCAACACTCTTCCGATGTAAATATTTGCAGACTACTTCATACCGAAAGTGTCATTTCCGTTTCTTTTATCGCGATCGCAGATGGATTTGCTTAAAGGTTCCAGCCGACGAGACGAGTGATCCAAATTCATTTCCTTCCTCAAAGGTCTCGATGAATTCATATAGAGGCACAATTTGTTGTGTTGTTTTCTTTTGTCAAAGTCACGTTCTGGCTGATTGAAAAAATCGATGTAGGGTAATGGAATTATTGTAAGAGATAATTGAAATGAAGAGGAGCGCAGGAGGACTACTTAATTTTATTATTTGTTTCTTGGAAATTTCGACTTTAGAACTAGAAATTTCGACTTCAATCTCGTAATTTCGAAATTACGACTTTAAATTCGGAATTTCAATCTTAATCTCATGAGTTCAAAATTTCGACTTTAATCTCGTAATTTCGAAATTAATACTTTAAATTCGAAATTTTAACTTCGATCTCGAAATTGTGACGTGAAATTCGAAATTACGACTTTTAACTCGCAATTTCGAATTCAAACTAGAAATTTCTACCCTAATCTCATAATTTACAAATTAAGATTTCAAACTCGAAATTACGACTTCAAACTAGAAATTTTTAGATCAAAGTCGTAATTTCAAGTTCAATTTGAAAATTACGACTTCAATCTCGACTTTGAACTCGAACTTACGACTTTAAACTCGAACTTTCGACCTCGTAATTTCAAAATTTCGACTTTAATTCCATAATTTCTAAATAAATACTTTAGACTCGAAATATTTACTTTGATCTCGTGATTTTTACTTGAAATTCGAAATTACGACTTTGAACTAGAAATTTTTAGATCAAAGTCCTAATTTCGAGTTCAATTTCAAAATAACGACTTTAATATCGACGTTGATCTCGAAATTACGACTTTAAAGTCGAAATTTCGATTTTAATCTCGTAATTTTAAAATTTTGACTCAAATTTCGTAATTTCGAAATAAATACTTTAAACTCGAAATATTTACTTTTATCTTGTGATTTTTACTTGAAATTGGAAATTACGACTTTTAACTCGTAATTTCGACTTCAAATTATGTTTCAATCTCGTAATTCAGAAATTAAGACTTGAAACTCGAAATTTCAACCTGAAATATCGAAACTTCGACTTCAAACTCGAAATTGCGACTTTAAACTCGAAATTGCGACTTTAAACTCGAAATTTTTACGTAATTTCGAGTTCAATTTCGAAATTACGACTTTAATCTCGACGTTGAACTCGAAATTACGACTTCAAACTCGAAATCTCGATTTTAGTCTCGTAATTTTAAAATTTTGAATTTCGTAATTTTGAAATAAATACTTTAAACTCGAAATATTTACTTTGGTCTCGTGATTTTTACTTGAAAATCGAAATTACGACTTTTTACTCGCAATTTCGACTTCAAACTCAAAATTTCTACCCTAATCTCGTAATTTAGAAATTAAGACTTCAAACTCGAAATTACGACTTTAAACTAGAAATTTTTAGATCAAAGTCGTAATATCGAGTTCAATTTTGAAATTACGACTTTATTCTCGACTTTGAACTCGAAATTAGGACTTTAAACTCGAAATTTTTACCTTAATTTCGTAATTCCAAAATTTCGACTTTAATTTCGTAATTTCGAAATAAATACTCGAAATATTTACATTC